TTCAAGCCTTCCAAACACCAAAGGAGCCAAGTAAATTTAGTTCTTAATTATTGGGATCTTAACTCTTTTTTCCCCTTAGCCTTCTCTGCCTTCCTCAGCCCAGTGCCTCTTCCGATTCTGCGTGTGTCTGCATTCCCATGTGTTTGAAAGTCTTCAGGCTGGGTTTTATGTTGTATACTTCCATTAGGGAGAGAGGAATTTAGCACAAACATTCCAGAGGAAATTCTAGTAGGGTGATGAAATTTAGTGTGGAAATTTTTATCTCAAAGAGGACATGAGTTTGGGAAAGTTCTTATTAAGCAGCATTTTCCATAGGCAAGGGTTGCTACTGTAAGGATAATGAAAGCCACATTCATAAATGTCTTCTCTGTGTGTGTGTCTGTGTGTGTTTATGTGTGTGTGTTTATGTGTGTGTCTCTGTATGTATCTGTGCATGTCTGTGTCTGTCTGTGTCTGTATGTCTCTGTGTGTGTGTTTATGTGTGTGTCTCTGTATGTATCTGTGCATGTCTGTGTCTGTCTGTGTCTGTATGTCTCTGTGTGTGTCTGTGTGTGTTTGTCTCTCTGTGTGTGTCTGTGTGTGTGTATGTGTCTGCATGTCTGTGTGTATGTGTGTGTACCTGTGTGTGTGTGTATATGTCTGTGTGTGTATGTCTGTGTGTGTATGTCTGTGTGTCTGTGTCTGTGTGTATGTTTGTGTCTCTCTGTGTATGTCTGTGTCTTTTTTGTCTTTGTGTGTGTGTGTATGTATCTGTGTCTGTGTGTGTGTCTGTATGTGTGTGTATGTCTGTGTCTGTGTATGTGTCTGTGTGTGTGCCTTTGTGTGTGTCTGTGTATGTCTGTGTCTTTGTCTATGTGTGTGCCTTTGAGAGTGTCTGTGTATGTGTCTGTGTGCGTCTGTGTCTGTGTGTGTGTCTGTATGTGTGTGTGTGCCTGTGTGTGTGTATGTATCTGTGTGTGTGTCTGTGTGTGTGCCTTTGAGTGTGCCTGTGTATGTGTCTGTGTGCGTCTGTGTCTGTGTGTGTGTCTGTATGTGTGTGTGTGCCTGTGTGTGTGTATGTATCTGTGTGTGTGTCTGTGTGTGTGCCTTTGAGTGTGCCTGTGTATGTGTCTGTGTATATGTCTGTATGTGTGTATGTGTCTGTGTGTGTGTGCCTGTGTGTGTGTGTGTGCGCCTGTGTGTGTGTATGTGTCTGTGTGTGTGTATGTGTATGTCTGTGTGTGTGTCTGTGTCTGTATGTGTGTGTGTGTCTGTGTGTCTGTGTGTGTGTGTGTGTCTGTGTCTGTGTCTGTGTGTGTGTCTATATGTGTGTCTGTGTCTATATGTGTGTCTGTGTCTGTATGTGTGTGTGTGTCTGTCTGTCTGTCTGTGTGTGTCTGTGTCTGTATGTGTGTGTGTGTGTGTGTCTATATGTGTGTTCACGTGGGTACAAGGATGCACTCGGATGCTAGAGGACAACCTCATATGATTTTGTCCAGGTACCGTTTGCCTTTTTCAGGGTCTCTCAATGGCCTGCAGCCTCCCATGGCCAGGCAAACCCAGGGGTCCACCTGCCTCTGTTTCCCCAGCACTGGTGTATGTCAGGAAGCCCAGCTTTTTTAAAATTTAACATAATTTCTTTACTCAATCTTTGGGCATTTCACATCATGCACCCCAATTCTGCTAACCTCCCAGCCCCTCCAAATCTTCCTCCCCCATGAAGCAGCCCCCAAAATTAAAATAAAAAAAACATCAAAAAGCAAACAAAAGAACAAAAAGAAAACAACATGAAAAAGAACCTCCCCACTTCTCCCTCTTTCCCTCCCCATGCTTGTGACTTTGGGAGCCATGGTGTAACACAGTGAACCCTTTGTCCAATCAACTTTACTTGCAAATGTTCTTTGCAATGAGTTCCCCATCTGGTTCAAGGCCTCTATCACTGAATCCTCACCAAAACTACTCTCGGATATCCAAGTCATGGAGATCCTGCAGGAATCGTTCCATCACAAACTCCACCAGGTCCTAGACAGGGTAGATGTTAGGTGGCACCAACCCCACCACCTGGGTGGTAATTGACCCTGTCAGTCCAGGCTACCTGGACCACCCCACCCCAGCCCTTGCTGTTCAGGGGTGGGGGTGGAGGGGCACATCTCTCCCACAGGGGTCCAGGCTAGCTCTCTTGCTGAAGCAGAGTATTCAGAGAGGGGCTATCCAGAAAGACTGGCTTTTTTATGTGGATTCTGGGGCCTTGAACTTAGGTCTTATTGCTGAAAAACCTTTTATCCATGAAGCCATTCCCCAGTACTATAGCTTTGAATGTATCCTAGGTATCGAATGCTGAACTCCAGTGGGCACCTGCTACTTTAAAGTTCAAGTACAACGGACCACAAAGGGCCAATAGTTTGCCTTTATTCCTTCTTCCCCCCACCCCCCAGGAATAACTTAGTATTTCCCTGATCAAAATTTAAACACTCAAAAGGGATACAGATGAATGCTACATTCCCAACTCGTAGCTGGAGCTCATAACCACAGTACCTTTTGGCCAGTACTATCTTCCTCTAGGCTCTTATGCTTCACCAAATGCGAGCCCCAAAACAGTCACAGAAAATTCTGGGCTGTCAGGCCAAGCTAAGAGACAAGAACAGAACCAAGGTCTAAGCCTGCAAATCCAACATCTGGACTCGGAAACATGCCGTCCCTCAGGCAACATTGTCTGCTGGCGTGTCTCTGGAAAGCCTGTGCCACAGAACAGTGGTACCTCTCCCAAGAGCACATGAGTCTGTGCTTGCCTGTGAAGTCTGTCCTCTGCATCCCATGTCCCTGCAGCAGGGCCTCTCTCCACACAAGGCACCTGTCCACATGAGCTGCCACATGTCTGCCGCCGGAGACGGGTGTGAATCCATTTTTATTTTAGCAAGGACTCGGATCCTGTTCGTCATTAATCTCCCCCTCTTGTTTCATCCCTCATCTCTTGCCAAATGACATTTCAAGTACCACTGGGCTTATTTTAAAGGACAGAGCCTCCCCTCAATTTAGGGGGAGAAATGAATAACGCGGCTGAGGGACTTTTTGTTCAATGAGGGGCTTGTGCTCAGACTTCCGCATTTGAGCAAATGACTGTCACCAAGGGAACCTGCTAAAGAATCCGTCCAGTGGCCTCTAAGTAGAGCGTGGAGCAGTGATTCTCACCAGTAGCAGCCAGACAGAAACCCTGGCTCCACTCTGCCCAAGTTGGTAAATATGGGGCCCAGAAGCCAGTGGTTTCGGAGGTTTATGGAGCATGAGTGCTGCGGGTGGTCTCTAGACCAAACCTGAACCAGGGAGTGTTTATCCACAACACCAAGGTAATTTGCAGTGTGGGCTTAGGAGAACCTGGCTTCGGGATATTGGAATGTGAAGAGGTCAGGGCCAACAGGCATCAACTGAGGTGCTGGAGCCTGAGATGTCAAAGGTTACCAGCCCACTTCTTTTCCTCTGACTCTAAGGGACAACTGAGGTCGCTCTTGTGTCCCTGTATCCAAATGCATCTGTTAGAAAGATAAAGGATGGCCCGACTCCTTCACTCCTTCTTCCAGATTTTTCTGGGTCTCTTAAAACCAGAAGGCCTGCTCCTCCCCAACCAGCTATTCTCTCTCCCACCCCCTCCCTCCCTTCTCCCTTTCTCCTCTCCCTCCCTCCCTCTCTCCAAGTTCTCACTTTGCAGTCACAGAGATCCCCCTGCTTCTGCCTCCCTAGAGGATTAAGATAGCTGTGCTCTTCTGCTTCTCGACTGACACAATCCGGTCTACACAGTGCGGTTTTCTAGCATTCCCAGGTTTTTGTATCCTAACCAGTCTGAACGTTGAGAATCAAACCAGCCAACATGACGTAGAACCTGAATGCAGTCCCCCCCCCATCACTGGAACTCTTAATCTTCAGTTTTGCTTGGTGACTTAAGACATGGACCCATAGCTGGGCGTTGGTGGCACACACCTTTTATCCCAGCACTCGGGAGGCAGAGGCAGGCGGATCTCTGTGAGTTCGAGGCCAGCCTGGTCTACAAGAGCTAGTTCCAGGACAGCCCCCAAAGCCACAGAGAAACCCTGTCTCGAAAAACCAAAAAAAAAAAAAAAAAAAAAGACATGGACCCATGAGATCACTCTTCCTGGCCCCATTCAACTCTCCTACTCAAGAATAGAACTCACATAACGCCGCTTTTACTTTTATCATATAAATAGTTAGTTCTCCCTTTAAAAACACATTAAGATGTTTTGTTTCTCAGTCAGTTCATTTGACTGGGAAACGAAGGTGTCTGCCATTCACATTTTCTTTTGAGCTCTGCTATTCCCGTAAATGTTCCCCCACAAGATTTGGCCCTCACTCACTGCTTCTGCTGCTGCCAATTCGTTTGCAGGGCCTCTATTTCACAAAAACGTTTCTCACGTTAAAAAAAAAAAGTAATTGAATGTCTGCTCATCACAGGGTTCCCTGTGTTCGGGGCCCAGGGTGTTAAACATTTTTCAGGTTGACTTGGGTCAGCTTTGAAATTTTCAGACAGCGAAACTCGAGAAGGGGCTGCATGCTCTAAGTGTGCCCTCTCATCCCGTGAACCCTTAAGTGGATGTTTAACACGGGGCTGCTGCGCTTCCCGGCTGACTTAAAGCGCACCGTACAGTTTACAAGACTATTAGTTAAACGCAGGGATTGCATGGATGCCCATGCTGTTCAAAACCATTTGCCTCGGCCCGGTGCTGCCCCTTAATTTTCAGTCGCGTTAAAGCAGCACACTGAACTCACAGGGTAGATGGCTGAGCGTCTGCAGAGTCGCTAACGCGGATACAACTGGAGCGGGGAATTCTCTTCCGAAGGAGGGAAAGGGAGGGGAGAAGAGAGGAATTGGTCTGAGAGGAGCCGACTCCATTCCATTCATGCTCCCTGTTTCTGGACCAAGTTTTTAATTTAACGAGATTTCACTGGGGGTGGGAGGCGGGTCAACCCCAGAGTGTGCTCCACCTGGCGGTGCAGTTGATTTTTGAACGAACTGGACTTTATTTCAGTACAAGAGAGCAATTGTTTGGTTGCTTTTAAGCACTAGCATTCTTGGAGTTTGATGGGCAAACTAACTAAATAAATAAATAAGATCGCAGTGTGCGGGTCTCCCGGCCGCTAATTGCATCTGACCCATTATCCCCTGTAGCTCCGGTTCAAACTCTGACGCGGCTGACTTGGAGTCTGAAACGTAAATGGAAGGGCTGCCTTTGCAGGCCACCATACTGTACAGCGTCCACTCCTGGCACGCTTTCCAAGACCTGGAAGGGAGAAGACACAGATATGAGCAATTATCCCAGGACTACACAGCTGTCAGCATTTGGGGCTGGTAGACACAGCCACTGGCCCTGCCTGTGTCTGACACCAGCCAGGGGTGGGGGTGGGGGTTGACTGTCCCAGGGAACAGTGTCAGAGGTGTTCTTGGCACCCCTGGGAAGAGGCACAGAGGAGAAGACCCCTCCCACGCGCCCCTTAAAAAGCAGGTGGATTGACATACAGTTAGCGACTCTTTCGTCTGCCTCTAGCTTTATCCTCACCACCCATAAAGCGTCTTTGAAAAGAGAACAAGGTTTAGAAAGACTCTCTTTCTTTACAAAGAAAAGCTGCCCACACCTAGAAGGCTCATCCAAAAGCAATAGTCCGCACCACTCCCCAGACAGGCTCTTGTACAGGATATGAATATCCACCTTCAGCCCTGCGCGCTCTCCTCACGGCCCTCTCCCTGAGGGACTCTGCTCGGGATTTATTTAACAGTGACTTTAAAAACAACCAGGGTCAGTACTTGGAAGGGAAGCAAAAGGTCCTGAGAGGAGAGAAGGGAGAGGCTGGAGAATACTGTTGGGGGAAGCAGGACTTCTACTTCAAAAAGGCTTGGTGGGGGAGTGGGAGGCTCAGGAGCGAACTGCAGCTGGCAGAGGAATCAAGGCCCAGCTCTTGAGGCTGGGGAAGGCAGCTCTGAAAGGCAGGGACGGAGGGGAGCAGCGCCACACGCAGGACCACCTAGGTCAGAACTGGTGCTACAGCCGGACCCAAGGCGGACATCCAATCCCACCATCACACTGCCTCCTAGCTCTGCTAGTTCGCCCAATCTACCGAACTCTCCTTTCTCAGTTTACAGAACCCTCGAAGAGAGCACTCACAGGCAATAACACAGACATGGCCTCGCTGTGGGAGAATTCTGCCCTGAAACCTGGTGTGACAAATCCAAGTAATGTGATCGTGAGACTCGAGGCCAAGATTCATCTCATTCACCGAAAGCTTCTAATCACCCAGCCACAAGAAAACACGGGGCTTCCCAAGAAACACCACAAGTTCAAGCTTAAGTCAACACCATCACGGGGGTGGGGGGGCCTGGCCTCTTAGAATGCCCTCTGGCCTTTATACAGTTGACCATTTACTGGACTACGCAGTCTGCACGGCTCTGCCTATGAGACAGCCACTGGCTCCCTTTGGGTCCAGCCTGACCAAGCTCTCCTTTCTACACTTCTGAGGTCCCTGAACCACTCTGTGACAAGGACAAAACACCTTGGTATACACCAAGGTCAGCCTAAGGCAGGATCACTGCCTACCTCTGTATTTCAACCTTGTCCCGTAGATTTGAAATTCAACCTGACCTTGCTAGTTATCTTGTGATGCTCAGTTTTATACCTCGGCTTGACTAAGGGATGGATAATAATGGGAAGGCATTAGTTCTCTATGTTCTTGTGAAGCTGTTTCTAAAAAAAGATCAGTATTTGAATTGATAGACTAAGATCACCCTTGCCAACTGGTGGGCATATCCAATCCACCCGAGTACCTGAGTAGACAGAGGGGGCGGGGAGTGAGTTCCTGGCTTCTTTGCCTCCTCCCGCCCTGAGTCTCCACACACCTTCTGGGCAGTCTGGCTGGAACTAGTTCCTCCAACTCCCTTGGTTTTCAGGTCATGGTATGTGGAACAGAAATACCTCCCAGTCTTGCAGACCCAGCTTCTGAATATGCTACCTGTGAGCTGCTACCTCTCTATATATCTATACTTGCATTCTATGGATTTAGCTTCTCTGGAGAGCAAGAACTAATATGGCTGGATTTGGCCCTGGTTTATTTTCTTAATGGAAAGCCGGAAGATGGTGCTTTTGTGAGAATTGAGTTTTAATGGTCATGCCTACTTTTTTTTAATGTGACTTTGCTTATACAGCAGAGTCAACTCATCCACACTCTTAGCTCAGAGACAGAGAAACCCTGAGCTTGAAACCAGGTCTACACTGCACCTGGATACCTATATTTGCCAGTAAATAGAAGCACATGGAGTTATTAATTAGCATTTATGAGTTAATTAGCATTCATAAGTAATGTCAACACAAGATGATGAACTAAGCTAGATTGTTTGGGAAGGGGAGATGAAGGATAAAACTTCTCCCTGTACTTGGATTCATATAAATGTTACTTCCCTAGAATGGGACCCCCACCTAGGAGTCAGAAGAAGTAAACACAAACATCCAGGGAAAGGCAGTAAATTCCCTGAGTCTGAGGGTGGCCTTTCCCAAGTTTCTGGTTCTCATTACTAATCTGTTTCATATTGAGTGGATTTGAGACTCGGTTTAAAGAAAACATACAGTAGCAATATAACCATCCAAGGTGGCCGTATGTGAGTCTCCTCTGTGAAAGTCTGAAGGTGAGGGGAAATTCAGAGATCACTGCCTCGTTCCCCAGGCTTCCAGTAAGGAAAACCACATCCTAAAGTGAGTGACAGAGATGGGCCCACAAGCCTCACATTTTCTACCTCTTTTTCTGCCCTATGACTCGAGCAGTTGAGGAAACTGGCGTTACCAGATTGGGAGCCAAGAAGTCCACCTGAGTCCAGTCATTTCTCTTAAGCAGTTATCAAGTGTACCAAGAAGGTGTGTTCTGTGTCTTTGGGGCCCCAGATGTCACACTCACCCCTTTTCAGTCTTTCCATCCAGCTCATGAGCTCCGTCAATTGACATCTGTGCTTTGACCTCTCCTGCGCAGGGCAATCCCTGGAGAAGCACTGAACTTTAATGGAAGAACTCTGCACTTAAAGACTCCACCTTATTGGAGATTAAAGAGGGCTTCGGGGAGAGGGGAGGGAGAAGCAGCAGGGTGATGGGGAGGCGGAATGGTTAGCCGGTTGGCAGTCTCTAGAGGATTATCCGTTCACAGTTGGTCCATCTATGTGGAAATCTGACCATTTTCACCCAGACCCACATAACATCTGAACTAAATTTCACAGTGGTTTTAACAGATTAAAGCAAACACCTTTTAAAGGTTTTCCCACATTCAGTCCACCGCAGGTGTTCTGCTCGCCAAGGCTACTTACAGAAGGATGGTTCCAAATGTTTGCCTGCAGTACCCCCCTTCCTGGCTGTCTCACGTGGTCAGTGTTACTGAAGAAGGAAAAAGATGCTCTTGCTTCTGAAGGATAGCCTGCATCTCTCTGTCATGATGAATAGTTTCAAAGTCAGCTCTCAGGTGCAAAGCATCCCTCAAGAGTTCCTGTATGCAGTGCGCAGGTTGGTATCTTGGACTATGTTAAAGCCATATCCATGAGGGCCAGATGGGACATAAGGAAAGACCAAGTGCTAAACCATGACCGAGCTGCCATCAGAAAGGCTCAGTAATGGCACATTTCTCTAAACAAACATGTTTTTCATCATAGTAGACCCACGGTAAACTTTAATAACTCACAATTGTGCATTGTCTATGGTTGTTAGTGGAAAAACAAAGCTAAAAAGGCAAAGGCGGCCTCTGTCTCTAATTTGAGTTCATCTACATCCAATGTTGAATTGTACTTGACATTTAGTGTAAGCTTGACCACCAGCTTGTTGCAAAGTAGTTGACCATTCTTCTTGTCTCCCAAGGCATGATGACCTTAGAATTCAATGCTTTCTTTAATCTTGATTTATGTGCTCTGATTATATGACATCTTGTGCGGTTATCTGCCTTCAGAATTATCATCCAAGAGCTTAATGCATACAGTGAACTGATTCCAGGCAATGAGGCCTTTCCATTCCTCATCAGTTTTCAGGGCCTTCTGAGTTAGTGTCTCAATCTGCTGGTGTTCTGCAGCTCTGGGTATATGAGAAATTGTCAATTTCCCTATCAATAATTTGTGGAAAATGGTCAATTTTCAACCATCTATAAAAAGCCAAATAGGCATTATCGGCCGTGTGGAAGAGCCGCCAGCTTTTCTTGGCATCTGCCACAACTAAGGTTTTAGGTTGGCATAAACGCATCACGCTCTTGACATACCAACCTTCAGGTGTGGTTTTTGTGCACGTCTCATGTCATAAGAGGGTACTCAACCTTCATAAGAAATAGGAGAGGCCACTGCAAGCAGGGAAGTGGAGAACACAGGAAGCCCTCATCCCTGCCCTGCGTGACTCTGCCCTTGCCTTGAGCTCTGCTACAGCAACATCCACCTGTGAAATTTCATCACCAAAACCTTTGCTCTGCCTGGAGAAGTCCTCCGTCCAGACCTCCTCTTCGAAGGAAGGCTCAGTCATCGACTCCCACAAGTTGTCCTCTTCTGTCTTTCTCCCCAAACATGTCATACCTCTCTATCGCCGTATCTACCATTGTGTGATGTGGGGTGTCTTTCTGTACGCTGTGAATATGTGTTGCTCTCATTGGTTGATAATTAAAGCTGCTTTGGCCTATGGCAAGGCAGGATAGAGCCAGGCAGGAAATCCAAGCAGAGACACAGGAGAAGAGCCGAGTCTACAAGACACCAGCAGCCACCCAGGGAACAAAAAGCCAGAGCACCACCGGTAAACCAGGGGCCACATGGCAATACACAGATAAATATAAATGGGTTAATTTAAATGTAAGAGCTAGCTAGTAATAAGCCTGAACCATCCATCAAACATTTATAATTAATATTAAGCCTCTGAGTGATTATTTAGAAAAACTGTGGGGCCAAGCAGGACGGAAAAGCCTCCGGTTACAGTTGTGCTTAGTAATAGTCTGACTAAATTTCTTTTTTTTTTTCCACTACCAAATTCTGACTCTCCTAAAAGCAGGAGAAAACATCTTCATTCTCTTAACCATTTTTGTATTTCCCATACCAAAGGCAAAAACCTACCACACAGTAGCTACTCAAGAAATGTGCAGTGGATAATTGTCCTCAGACAGTGGGAAAGGGCTGTAGGGAGACAATGTACACCACCCGACAGTCTAATCTGGTAGACTAGACAATGAACGCCACCCGACAGTCTAATCTGGTAGACTAGAAGTAGGAATGCTGACTTAGTACCAAATAGCCAAATAGTCTGGAAAACAATGACAAGAAGCCACTAAGAGTAGCAACCTCTGTCTGACCGACTCAAGCCCTGTAGTCACAGCCCCTAGCTGCAGCTGGAGTCAGCTACATTTGCACCTAGCTTCAAGGTTGCCATTGAGATCACTATTTTGTCCTCTGATGGCAATGCCACCCTCAATCAGAATCTCTTCTAGTCTGGGCAGCTTGCCTGGTGAACCTATTTGCACCCAAAGCCCTCACCTTTGAGAGGTTGAGCTCCAGAACCTCTTCTCAGACAAGGTTTCTGTGCCTGTCCGTGTACCATGGTCTCTGTGCCTGTCCGTGTACCATCAAGCTTGTGTAAACAGACTAGCTAGAGATACCCTAGAGTTCACATGAGTGGTGAACACAGGTCCAACGGCCCTCAGTGGCTAAAAGCAGCCCTGCTTCTTCTTAGTTAAGGTCAATACCACTGCTAAAATAATGATCCCTTAGCGCTCGGCCAGTAGCCATAGCTTAGAGTCCAGCTGTGATTCTGCTGCCTCTCTTTGTGATCCAAGACCTCTAAGTCTGATAAAACAAGAACTGGTTTTTGGTCTGGCTGCCTAGAGAGGACACATGTGAGTGGGTCACAGAGGCCTTTGCATTGTGGAACAGAGGCCTCTTCATTGTCTTCAAGCAAAATTAGTATAATGTTAGTGGTTAACAGAGAGGACTGACCAACTCGTGCAGGTCCAAAGAGGGTGGGACCTGCAAACTTACTCAGATACCTCCATCTAATATGTCTTAAGGTCCTTGGAGCCTGGCCTGGCAAAAATAGTATACTCACCTAGGTTGAGCATTCAGATTCCTCTGGAACACTGCTATTGTAGAATGTCTCTGGCTCTACTATCTTAATGTCTAATTTGTCTGCCTCCTAATTATAAAAGATCAGGCTTGCTTTACATTTAATCAGTAAGGCTTTCTGGTTCCCATAATAATTGCTAAATTAATTACCTCTTTTTCTAAAGCATTTATGACCCCCTAGTAGTAGTCGCCCAGTACTATTGTCCTATTACCTAGATGTTGGATACATTCACCAGCCAGCATGCCATTCCAGCTCGGCATTCATCCGTCTCTGTCCCATGTCCCTCCAGAGATGCGGTCCTAGCTCGTGGCCAGCTGGTGTGCCCCCTTCAGATTCCATCACCATGGCATCATGCTCGGACTACGCCTGTACCAACTCTTTAGGCTGGCTTCTCTGAGAAGCTGCAGGCTTTGAATCAGATATTTGTATACAAGAAAGTTATTAGTGCGTTCTCTTAGGGACCGCTCTCTATAGAAAGGAAAACAGGAAGGAACCCAGGCGGGGCCAAGGAAGAAATTAAGCCCTGACAAAGTCAGGATAAAGGTCTCAGCTGAACTCACCAAGAGAGCCTGGTTTGAACTTAAAAGTTGCCCCAAGCCCAGGTTGGGGGACAGATCTTCATAACACCCCCCCACACCAGTTTGTGGAGACAAGCTGTCCCTGCTAAGGAGGTGTGGCATTAAGTGATGAGGCCTCATTCAGCAGAAGACAATTAGCAGAGAGGACTGGCGGGTGAGGCTGCCAGCCAGTAGCACAGACAGCAACTGGAGCAGCAAGCCCTTAATTCCCAAAGTGGGGTTAGGGTGGTACGAAGGAGGGATGGCCTTGGGTGAATCAGACATGTTCTCAGGGCCTGAGCTTCCTTATCTGTAAAATGGAAATGGGGGGAAAAAAGGCCCACCTCATAGGGTTGTCATGGAGATTAAATGGAATAATAATGCAATGCACCTTAATACAGAGCATTGTACATAATAAGCACTGTAGCCTCTTTTAGCTGTAAGAAGCTTAGGGCTTATATGGGAAGCTAAGACTAAATTATAGAGTACAATGAAAGAGTTCCTAAATTGTGGGCATTAGGAGCTTAGATGCAGGAAAATCAAGGAAGCAAAGAAGGGTTTCAAAGCAGGGATGATCAGTAAACACGAGGAGTTTGGACAGGGGCTGCAGAAGTCTTCTACATGAGACATTAGCCAGAGCAAAGGCCCCAGGAACAACATGGCATTGGCAGGGTCGTGGCGCTGTCAGTGTGGAGGCCACAGAGCATCCGATCCAGGGCTGGAAGCTTGGAGATCCATTCAGGAGCCCCTGGGAGACTGTAGCAGACCATAGCCCAGTTAAGCCCTGACGTAGTTAGAAGAGCTTCCTGAGAAATGGCAATTTGACAGGGAAGGTGGGAAGAGGAACATAGTGAGGGATGGGAGAAGAAGGAGACGGGAAGGACAGAGCAGGGAGAAATGAGACTAGAGAAAAACCATGAACAAATTGGAGAATAAAAGCCAATCCAGGAAGCCGGGCATTGTGGTTTATGCCTGTAGTTCCAACACCAGCGAGGCAGAAGCAAAGGGACCCACTGAAAAGTCTAAGCCAGCTTTGTCAAGTTTCAGGCTAGACAGGGTGAAACAATGAGACCTTGTCTCAAAACAAAACACAAACACAAGATAGGGTCAGTGAAATGGCTTAGTGGGTGAGGGTGCTTTCAGCCAAGCCAAGCAGCCTGGGTTCAATCCCCAGAAGCCACATGGGAGAGGGGAAGGGTCACCTCCAGCAAACTGTCTTCTCACATCCAATGTGAGCTATCACACACACACATATTTGAATGCAAAAAAAAAAAATTAAAGCCATTCCAGAGAGCAGAGAAACAGAGAAAGCAGGACATTAAGGAATGGTGATGTTTCTGAAGTGCTGCTTCTAAG